TTTTTTTTTTTTTACCTGTGATGTTGAATTTGCTGGGTTTTTTTTTTTCTGGCCAAAATAGGAATACCAGGAGCCGTAAAAAATGTTCTTAATTGGACTAACAAAGCGTGCACCAAAACATAAAGAGCCGGACTCCCTTTAAGCCAAAGCAAGACTATGTACAGGAAGGTTATGGTGCCTGCTGCTGCCTACAAATGCAGATGTGTACTGAAGAAAGGTTCACTTGAATTAAAATGATTCTGTCATAGTATATTGGAGTGCAAGCTGCAACATTCATAAACAATGCCTGCCTATAGCAACCCTTACCCATTCATTGTCCCTTAGGGGGACACTTACCAGAGTATGTATGCAGCCACTGGTCTCCCGAGCTGCAAACACCAGTTCAGTGTTCCATTAAATTGGCCCTTTCAGTAGCTTTACAAGTCTGCAAGAATACATTTCAGACACGTCACAATGTATATGTAAACAGTATTTATTTATTTTCAATAAAAATCCACCTTTTATCATTAAAAGGCTGTCCTTAAAATCCAGTGATTTTGCCTAGGCTGAGATGATGCCATTATCGTCGTCTGCTACATCCAGGAGCAAGCATTTCCTCAGTCTCCCCTCCCCCAGTGATCGGTCTGCTGCAGGCAGGAGGAAGCTTTTTTTCAGGCTCCCCTCCCCAAGTGATTAGTCTGCTGCAGGCAGGAGGAAGTATTTCCTCAGTCTCCCCTCCCCCAGTGATCAGACTGCTGCAGGCAGGAGGAAGCATTTCCTCAGTCTCCCCTCCCCCAGTGATCAGTCTGCTGCAGGCAGGACGAAGCACTTCCTCAGCCTCCCCTCCACCAATGATCAGACTACAACATAACTTTGTAGCAACTCACAAGGCGAGAGGCTGCAGCAGAAGACTGATCTGTGTCAGACATTTGTGAGCACAGATAAGCTTTGCACAAGAGCACCAGGAGTTACATGATTGTGTCATCTCTGAGCCGCATCTTAGTCCAAGAAGTAGAAGGTGAACCGGATGGTGGTTCAAAAAATAAAAAGAGATTGCTCCGTCCTTCTAGAAAGAAAATCGGATAAGGCAAAAATCAGAGACAGTGCTCTCCGTGAGAAGTAATAAATACCTGAAAGTGTTACAATTACACATTACTGATCATGTATGTACCGAACATAAAACAATATATCTGGTATATATGGGACCGGTCCAAGATTGAGGATATGGCCCTGGAGCTTGTAAGTTTAGAATCCAACAATGGAAGTGGAAGCCCCATCATTTCTATCCTGACAAGACCCCGAAATAGAAAAACTGTATAAAGAAGAATACAAGGATTGTACTTACCGTAAAAATCCTTTTCCTGGAGTCAACTGAAGGACACAGGAAGTCCTAAACCTTCTGGTTTTACTGCCGCCTACAGGTGAATTGGACACTGGCAAACAAAAAACTGAAGGCCAACCCCCCCTACTGCCAGCAAGCCTCAGCGTTGTAACAAAACTGAAAGGGTATCTTGCTGGGTAAGGCTGGGCACACACCTTACAACCATCGCAAGACTTCTGTCTTGCGATGGTGGTAAGGTACTTAAAAAAACGTACGATCTGCCTATGTTGCATAGGCAGATCGTACTTGCGATGATCGCAAGCCACGCCCCCTGAGGGGCGGGCTTCCGATGACCGCAATGCCGAACGGGCAGTGTGCGCTTGCGCACACCGGCCCGTGCGGCTGTTATCGTACGGACATGCCACAAACCCGCCGAACATCGTACGATGCTCGGCGGGTTTTCAAACATGTCCGTAAGTTTAAAGTCGTGCGACCTTACAGTAGTAGAGGTCACATGGCTTCCACACACCTTACGATCATCGTACGATCGCGGGATTTCCCACGATTATCGTACGATAATCGTAAGGTGTGTGGGGACCCTAAGGCCAGCAGTTCAGACACTTTCCTCAAACAGGTGATGGCCGCCCCCCATCTAAATGGGATTTAAAAAATGCTTCTGAAATCCAGAACCACTTACCTGAATCCGCAGTCATATGACCCTCCGTGGTGCCGCTTCCATTGGTGAATAATGGCGATTGCTCACTGTTCTACCCGAGCGCTCTTGTCACCACCCTTTGGTGATGTCTCTAAACTAAAGATGGGTATACACGATTCTTTGCAGGCTTGTGAGTGTTGATGGATGAATCCCCCCGCTGTCTCCTACTGATGGCCGCTGTCCGCATACCCAAACGGAGGTAGCAACCAATTGGCTGTTAGCTCCGTTCGGCCAAGAGTTCTCCAACCTGCTCCTTCAATCAGCTGATCGAGGGAAATCGGGCGAAAGGATGGATGCCAACAGCATCACCCACACAGCAAATTTCAGCCGGTTCATCATGAAGCGTCCAAAATTTGAAGCATGCGTATCCTACTTTAAGGATTCTGTGGGGACCTGGGTGGTGGACACTTATCAGCCAACATCACCAGTAGGAATGCACCGATACCACTTTTTTAAGACCGAGTACGAGTACCGATACTTTTGATCAATTTTTTCTAAAGCAATACAAACTAATGATTTTAGGTCAGTTTCTTAATATTATGATTCATGAGATGACGAGGGAGCATGATGCCGGCTTCCCGGCCAATCAGAATGCCGGACGCTGCGTCATTACACGGCACCCGGATTTGCTAGCTTTCTGACCAATCGGGAAGCCGGGCAGCGCGTCATTACACGCTACCCAGCTTCCTGATTTGCCGGGAAGTCGGCTCCATGCACTCTCATCACAAGTTTCTCGGCCAATAAGGAAATCGGGCAGCGTGTAACGATGCGCTGCCCGGCTTCCTGATACAGGAAGTACTCGTGCTAGGTATCGGAGCATTTGGGCGAGTACGAGTACTCACACTGGGGCAGGTAATTGTTTTTTTTTAACAGCTCAGAGTTGAGCTTTACATAAAGACAGAGAAACAACTTCATTCTTGTACAAATTTGGAACAAGCCAAAAGGTTAAAAATGTGAAACTCACGTCAAAAATGACTTTCCAGTAAATGTTCCAATGCCAGCTCTAGAAATAGAACTGCTGTATTAAGAGCAGAAATGTATCAACCTTGATCATTTTATATAAAAATATTGCTAGAAATCATGAAAAAAAAGAAGATCATCTATAGACACACAAGAAAAAAAAAAAAGGCCCATGAAATCTACTGATAAAACGTTCCTGAGCGATGCGGAAACGCTGTCAGTTTTCACAATGGATGTAGACGGCGGTGAAATGTTGAATAATCGGCTATGCTGCTCTGACTGCAGCGGCGATGGGAGCTTCGTCATCTAAGCGGACAGGATGGAGGTTGCCTTTTATCGCTCTGTCATCCGGTTCTCTGGAGGCCTGGAGAAGAAGCTTCATGCTCCGCTCGAAAATTAATCTGGGGTCAAGAGAGGTGAGGGGAGGGCAGCCACAAGACTCTCTCAATTTAAGGGCCTGAGGGAAGACGGAAAAGGACAAGGTCAGCGTTTTTTGTAAAGTAAATATAACATGCTGGTAGGACTGATGAAGCAAAGATCTGCAATACAGCACGGCGGCAGCAAAGGGGACGTATATCCTCGTCATTATAACCGATAAAACAAATGGAACTCAGATTTATTTATTATTGGTATATAGAGAATGCCGACAATTTTACGCAGCGCGGTTACACAGTGCACACCTTCACATCAATCCCTGCCCTCAAGGAGCTTACAATCTAAGGTCCCTATCTCACATGGATACATGTGCCAATTAACCTACCGGCATGTCTTTGGAGTGTGGGAGGACACTGGTGCACCCGGAGGAAACCCAACACAACAGGGAAACTCCTTGCAGAGAGTGACCTGGCCGGGATTCAAACCAGGGACCCCCAGTGATGCAAGGCAGAGGCGCCAACCACTACACCACTGTGCTTAGATGCATTTATTACTTTTATTTAACACAAAGGACAGTCACAGTGGACTGGAACTCAAAATGTTAGCCATCAAAAAAGTCATCCACAACTCTGCCCCCGGCTATATCTCAGACCTTGTCTCAAAGTATCACCCTAACCGTCCCCTCCTCTCTTCCCAAGACCTCCTGCTTTATTTTAGTTTACTGATTTGTATGGAGATTGTAGTACATCCACAGGGGGGGGGAGGGGGAGAGCTTGGGGACCCACACACAGGGACCATGGGGAACAGACGTAGCCCCCCCTCCAGAAGGAAGGACAGTGTCAGCACCAATTCAGAGATGATTGGAGGATCTACAGCCGAGTGACACACAAATAAGATACATTGTTGTTCATAGTTCAGGGACTTTAATGTATTTTTCAAATGTAACTTCTGAGTTTAGTGTGACTTTACCATAGAATGCAGAGTTCCAGAATGGATGATAGATAAAAGGATGTTTTTTTTTATTGGGCTTCAGTACAATTAGATACATCGTTTTTTGGTGAATGTTTTAAGCAAATCTAATACTTCAGGCCGCCTGCCGGATGGATCAGAGATGTGAGATTTTCACCATGAACTATACAACAGCCGATGGCACAAACAAAATTGCCCTTCAATGTTTCGCCTGTGCACCGCCATGGACTGGGATAATTCATCCTCGCTGCCATGACGGTTACAGTTGGCGATAAAGCACATTAATGGCGTTTAATAAACATTGAGAGCGTTAATCAGGAAAACATATATTGTTACATAGTTACATAGTATTTGAGGTTGAATAAAGACATATGTCCATCAAGTCCAACCCATTGTGTGTGGGTCGGTGTAAAGAAGAGCAGTAAAATATGACCAGACATCCTATGAATGTAATATTGCCAATTCGCTAGTCCCTGGGGACCTCCGTGCCATCTTAAACATACAATTTACAGTAAAATCCCCTCCAGGCAGAGGAGGGAGGTGGGGGGGGGGGGGGAGACTGTTTGTTACTGTAATTTTGTTATCGAATAGGACATGCCACATTAAAACTGTACAGACTAGCTCTATCGAGTGTGTTATCTTCCGCTCAATCACCACGGTGGACAGATTGGGCCTCGGTGTGGAAGTGTCAGAAGGAAGAGTTCACTGCCCATCAGATAATCCTTTGTATGTTTCTAGTACAGTAAAAGAGACTGAAAGGGAGAATCCGATCGGTTGTGACAAGCAATAATATACACTATATTGCCAAAAGTATTGGGACATCCCTCCAAATCATTGGATTCAGGTGTTCTAATAACCTCCATGGTCACAGGTGTATAGGATGAGGCACCTCGGCATGCAGACGCTTCTACAAACATTTGTGAGATAATGGGTCGCTCTCAGGAGCTCAGTGACTACAAGCGTGGTGCCGTGATAGGTTGTCACCTCTGCAGTAAGTCCATCCATGACATTTCCTGGCTACTAAATATTCCGCGGTCACCTGTTACTGGTATTATAACAAAGTGGAAGCAACTGGGAATTACAGCAACTCAGCCAGGAAAGAGTTCATGTGCGTTTAAAGGCCGGCATCCCAATACTTTTGGCATCATAGTGCATCTACATTGCAGCTGCTTAGCAGTCCTTGGATTTGGTGGCTGCATTAGCTTTCCCTCATCAGCCTAAGAACATTTTCAGCAAGAAAGGGAAAAGATCTGTTGATCCTGCCAGAAATGCCATTTTTACTTTAATCCCCCCAAGGGAGATGAGCGAAGGCAGACATGTTTGAGGTCCAAGTACAAATCAATGCAAATTGTCATCGCTCGAGTGTTGGAAGGACACAGATAGATAACTTCAGTCCATTGTTCATTCAAGTGTTTCCATGAGAATACAGAATAAAAGATAATATTCATGGCCTTGCAGCTCTCTATAGACTGGGAAATCCTTCTAGGATGATATACAGCAAACAGGAAGAGCAGCGACCTTGTGCTATAGCTAAATAACATAAATTTATCATATACTCACATAAAGTGCTTGGCGGAAGAGCAAGCCACATCAAAACCACCCAAGATCAGGCTCGCTCAATCCAACTGGATACAGGTAACCAACTGTTCAACGATACGTAGTCTCAACCTCAACCGTGCATTAAGACTTACGCATTTCGAGAGCTGGCCCTCTTCCTCAGGGCTACTTGCACAAAGAGTGCCTGTACATTTCCATTTAAAGCCCAACTCCGGGGGAAATTAAGATGTTTGCCTTGCAGAGGGGCTGCCCATGCACTTCAAGGGTTAACTGCTTCTTTATGTGTAGAGAACAGGATAAAGCTATATTACTTACCTGAACTCCGCTCCTCCGGCATGCAGTGCTCTCCTCTTCTCCTCTTCCGCACTGGCTGTGGACTGAACCTCAGCATCCTCGCATACAATGCCGGGGTATGGAGCCTGCATTGTACATGACAACGTCAGTGGTCCTTAGAATGCCGGAGCAAAGGGAGGATGAGAAGAAGCTGAGAGGACCGGTCCAAAGCCGACCATACACTGTTCTATTTTTACGCTTATGAGCGTTGATCGAGGAATACATGCTGCTTTTTTTTTTTATTCGGACAGCGGCCATCGGCGGCTGTCAGAATACCCGAACAGAGCTGGAAGCTTATTGGCTGCCAGCTCTGTTTGTTCCTAGAATTTCCAACCATCTCCTTCCATCAGCCGATCGAGGGATGCCGGATGAAATTTGCACAGTGGGTGCCGCTGTCGGCACCCTTTCGGCCTGCATCACTTGAAGACACTGGCGGAACTACCAGGGTCGCAGCGGTCGCAATTGCGACCGGATACCCCTCATGACACCCTCTGCGCCCCTCCCCCGACACCTTCTGCACCCCTCCTGAGACCTTCCGCACCCCTCCTGTAACATTCCGCACCCCTCATGACACCCTCTGTACCACTCATGACACCCCCTGTACCCCTCCCTGGACATTCCGCTACCC